TGCAACTTAGCAAGACATTGTCTCAAAATGAAAGATAAAAATGGATGGGGCTGAGGCTCTGTGGTAGAGCACCCCTGGGGTTCAATCCCCAATATAGCAAAAATAAGTAAATAAAAATGAGAAGAGGGTCTAGGGTATGCTCAGTGGTAGAACACTTGCCTAGAATATGAAGGACCCTGTGTTCAATTCCCAGCAACACAAAAAAATTCTACTCCTAAAATTTTGAAGTTTGTATGTGGTGGGGGTGGGTAATGCTATAATGGATTCATTGTGGGCTCAGGAGATTACAATTATGCTTACATCTGTATTATGCCACATAGTTGGCTGTGTGAGACTGCAACTTATTTTAATCACCCAAAACCTTACTGTTCTCATCTATAAAATTGTGATTATTGTATTTGTTTTTGTTTTGTGCTGTTGAGAATCAGATGCAGGGTCTTGCACCTGGTAGGCAAGTTCTCTACCACTGAGCCACACCCCAGCCCTACAAAATTGTGATAATAATATTGTCTGCCTTGTAGAATTGATGTGAGGATTCTATGAGAAAATGCATATTGAACACCTAGAATAGAACCTAGAATATACTAAGCACTCAATAGTGCTGGCTGCTAGTATTAGTAATAAGAAATCATTAATCAATTCCATGCTTCAAGCAGATTTTTGTTTGCAATTTTGCTACTTACATAGTTTTCCTGACCATAAGACAAAATTGTCAATTCCTTGTATAGATATACATCTTCTAAGTTAATACATTAACATTATTTTGTTTAGGATTTTATGGAATCCACTGATTTGGCAGTATAGTTTAGCGATTGAGTTAACAGTTTGGAAATGACAGGAATGGATTTTAGATTATGTCATATGTGTTCTCTCATTTTGATATGCGTTATAAATGGAATATTTAGCAACCAACAATCTACAAGCTATAAGTCAGATTAGTAATTTGACTGTAATTGGTAGTCATTGATTTTTTTTTTATAAATAATTTTCCTTTTTTTTTAAAGAGAGAGAGAGAATTTTTTAATATTTATTTTTTAGTTTTCGGCGGATACAACATCTTTGTATGTGGTGCTGAGGATCGAACCCGGGCTGCACGCATGCCAGGCGAACATGCTACCGCTTGAGCCACATCCCCAGCCCTAGTCATTGATTTTTGCAATGTGCCATAAAATGGTATTTACATTTGATTGTCTTTTTGTCCTACAGGTGTAAAGGGTCAAGTTTTTGATCAGAATGGAAATCCATTACCCAATGTAATTGTGGAAGTCGAAGACAGAAAACATATCTGCCCATTTAGAACCAACAAATTTGGAGAGTACTATCTACTTCTCTTGCCTGGGTCCTATACAATAAATGTAAGTATGCAATCCTGGTTGTTATGAAGATAACTACAGAGCTCACAGTACTCACCCAGAAGGAATATAGAATAAATCTGGAAAAACCCAAGAGTAAATACATCAGGGCAGAAAGAAATGGAATCATGCCTGCAAATGACAGGGGTGCAGCGGAGGTAAGAACAATAGGAACTAACCAAAAGAAAAAAAAAATCATGTTTTCTTGAGTGGCAATCTTCCTTTTGTGTCATACTGGGGATTGAACCCAGGGGCCTCACACATGCTAGGGCAAGTGTTCTCTGCCACTGAGTTGCATCCCCAACCCTTAATTTTTAAAGTAAAGCCAAATCCTATTTTGGTGAGAATCTTTATAATTTAAGAAAAAAAATGCAACCTTATTAGTAAGAATAAAAGGGAGCCAAGATGGCTGAAGAGAGGTGCCTTGTGCCCTCTGCCACAGGATCAAGGCAGCAAAGGAGCAACTATTTCAAGGAATGTGAGGGAGAACTCTGGAAATCCACAAGGCAGTGAAGCCTACACAGCAGAGGTCTCCAAAGAGCTCCCAGCAGGCAGTGAGGAACCAGCATGGTGGGAAGGAGGTGAGCTGGAAGTACCAGCAACCCTGACTGTAGCTGCAGACCAACAGTCCTAACTGCAGAATTCCACAATCCTTACAAGCTTTAAATCTAGTCTGGGGAACTGACTGGTCTAAAAGTGACTCTTCTGCTCCAAAGAAAGTGCTCCTTTTGGACCACCTTCAACCCCCAGAACTCAAACTACAACAACCACTACTAGATGCCATATTGTTTTGGGGCTGGCATCCAAACCCTTGACCAGTTAGAAGCCTTGGTGTACACTTCACTGGGAATAAGGCAGCCCTCTCAGCATCCTGCAGCTTCAGGACCACCCACTGACTACAGCCAAGAGCCTGAGCCCCACTCACATTTGCCCTGCAGGATCAAGGGAATATGTCCTCCCAGTCCACAGCCTTGGGACTGTAGCCACTGTTGCAAAATCCCAACTTCACTCATGCCTGTGGGTGTAGGGGTTTCTGCAGCTCCAGAAATACAGCTGTGGTAGCCTGAATACCTGCTTGACATCTGCTCACCTGCTAATCTAGGAAAAGTCTCCTTCTCAGCTCAAGTCCTTGGATCTGCAACTGCAGATGCAAAAAGCCTCTACTTCACTCAAGGGTACAGCTGGATGGGGGAAGGACCCATCTTCAGGACTGTAATTGCTAACTCTACAAGCTTTGTTCCTACCAGAGCTTGCCCTAGGGACATTCTCACTCATATCCTGAAACTCCAAGACTGCAGATAACAAAGCCACAGGCCCCATAATCACTTGTGCTCAACCTGAAGGACCTAGGGAAGATCTCCCATGGATACCGTACCACTAGCCCAAATGCACAGGCCCCGGGAAACCTAAGGAACATCTGTGTAACCCACAGACTTCAGACCATAGTTCTGGTGCCAAAAGCCCTGGATCACTCTGTGCTTATCCTCTGGGCTGTCAAGAAAGTAACATCTGGGTCCCACAACTCCAAAAAGCACCTCATAGCACTACAAGCCCAGCACCAACTATAAATCACCTCATGGGACCTAGGGGAAGGGCCCTTTGTGTTCCCAAATCTAAATTTCATGGTTTCCAGTGCCACAGACCCACCTGTGCTCATTCTGCAAGACTTCAGAACTGTGGCTGCTGATACTGCAGACCCAGACATCTCCTCCATTCATCTTGAGAATCCTAAGGAAGGCTTCCTATATGTCCTATGGCTCAGGGACCATGGGTGCTGAGGCTACAACCTTTGATGTCACCTGTGCTTTCCCTGAGGGACCAGAGGGTAGGCCTCTCCATATTCTACATCACCAGAACTGTTGTCAGTTGCCACCACTAGTTACAGTGCCATCAGGGCTCAACTCTGTAGAGCCCAAAGTCACATACCTTTGGAAGTCATGTCCACTGCAGTCATACAACTACCCTTTACAAACCTCTACAGTCTAGGCTATTGAGGTGCTCATGGACTCATAAAGCACACAGAAACTATACTTTTGAGCTCCCTTATATCCAAACCCAAAGCCCCTATCCAAATGACAGCCTTTACCCCATCTAAGCAAAAAAGAATCTTTTTCTACTGAAGTTATTTCATAAAATTGGAAGAAATGAACATTATACCAGATGAGCAGACATCAACACAAGGACACAATAAACATGAAAGGAAACATCACACTTCCAAAGGAGAATGACAGTTCTCCCGAAATAGACCCCAATTTGAAGGAAATATATGAGGTACCTGATAAAGAATTAAAATGATGATCCTGAGGAAATGCAATGAGATGCAAGAGATGATATATAAGAAAAACAATTCAGCATATGAATGAGAAATTCACTGAAAAGAGAGAAAAAATGAAGAACAATCAGATATGTTGGAACTAAGAATTTCAACTAATGAAATGAAAAATAACTTTCACAAGAGACTAGAACAAGCAGAAGAAAGAATTCTTAAAACTAGGGACAGATCTCTTGAATTTAGTTAGCCAGACAAAAAAGAGAAAAAAGAAGAATTTAAAAGAATGAGGAAAGTCTACAATATTATGGGATACCATTCTCATTTTGAGAATTTTTGTGAAGAGGAGAGGAATTGAAAATTTATTTCACAATAGCTGAAAATTTCCCAAACCTTCAATAAGATATGGACATCCTGATTCAAGAAATTCAAAGGATCCCAACAGACTTCCATGTTTGGCATATTATAGCCCAAATATCAAAAATGTAAGACAGAAGCCTAAAAACAGCAAGAGAAAAAGCATCAAGTCACATCCAGGATACATATACAGCAGATTTCAAAGAAATCTTATGGTTCAGAAAATAATGGGAGGATGTATTCAAAATACTGAATGATAAAAACTGCCAACCATGATTTTATTATACCCAAAATTATCCTTCCAAACTGAGGGAGAAATAAAGTCTATTCCAGATAAACAGAAACTAAGGGAATTCATCACCACTGAACCAGCCCTATAAGAAATACTGAAGAGTCCTACACTAGCAATAAAAGGATGAAAACTACCATCGTGAAAACATATGAATATACACCACTAACTAGAAGAACAGATACACAAAATGGACCAAAACCCTAAATGTTAAATAGAAACTGAAATTACTAAAAGAAAATGGGAAACAATTCAAGACTTTGGTGTAGGCAATGGAGTTAAATCAAACCAAGGAGCTATTGCACAGCAAAGGGGAAAATCAGCAGAATTAAGAAACAGCCTACAGAATGGAAGAAAGTATTTGCAGACTCTTCATCTGACAAGATATTGATATTCAGAATACATAAGGAACTCAAAAAGCTGAATATTCAAACAACAACCTAGTTTTTAAAATGGACTAAAGAACTAAGCAGACTTCTAAGATGATCTACAAATGGCCAACAAGCATAGGGAAAAATACTCAATCTCACTAATCATCAGGAAAATGCAAATCAAAACCACAAAATGTTATCTCACCCCAGTTGAAAGGGCTATCACCCAAAACTGAAAAATGCTGAAAAGGATGTGGAAGAAAAGGAACTCCTACACACTACTGACAGGAATATAAATGAACAGTCATTATGGAAAACACTATAGATCTAAAGGAGGTGAAATCATTATACCAAAAAGATACTTGCATTTCCATGTTTATTGCAGTACTATTCACAACAGCTAAAATGTGGGATCAGCCCAAATGCCCTTCAGTGAATGAATGGATAAAGAAAAAATATATATATACACAGTGGAATATTATTTGACCATAATAAAATCTTTTCATCTGCAGCAATTCAGAGAGAACTGGAGATCATTATATCCAGTGAAATAAGTCAGACACAAACTCTAATGCCACATGTTCTCACTCTTTTGCAGAAACTGACAAGTCAGCCTTGTAGAAAGGAAAGGAATAGTGATCACTGAAGATTGAGAAGTCAGGAGTTGAATGGGAAACAGAAGTTCAGTTAAGAGGCACCAAAACAGCAGAGGAATCAATTCTGGTTCTTCTTTAATACAGTAGGGTAACTATAGGTTGAAACAATCTATGATATATTTCAAAACGTCTAGAAGAGTACAAAATCCCCTACACATAAAAGTGATCAATGTTTAAAAAGATGAAAATGCATACTATTCTGATTTGATTATTATTCCATATACATGTATCAAATTACCATAATATACCCCATAAAGATACACAAATATTATATCTAAATTTATAAAAACAAATAATGTAGCAAAAGTACTTCTGAACTTCATGGAATACCATTTAACACCCATTCCATAAGATACAATTTCTATCATTACAAAAATAATTGAGGAGGGGAGGTGTAGCTCAGTAATCAAATGCTTGCATAGTAAGCACGGCCCTAGGTTCATCCCCAGCACTATGGGGTAGGGGGCAAATAGATTATGACAGTTTCCTTAGAACAAGTAAAATTTGATCCACAAATTTTGACAGTATATTAAGCAAGTGATGGGCATAGTTTGCAGCCCTTTTTCCAATCAATTGAAGTAAAATCTCGATTTTTAATTCCATTACAATGTATGTTTCTGAGTCATTTCTTCCTAAGACAAGAAAGCATGATCTCATTTGAGTCTGGGTAGGCTTATGTGAGTGAACTAAATAAGTACCTGATTTTGTTGGCTCGATGGTACTTTTACCTCTTTGATTTTTCTCCAAAAAAAACTTCAGGATTCTGCTTTGCTTAGTGGGACCAAGGCCAATCGTAGCAGTCCCATTTTGTACAGAGCTATTCCTAGAAGAAGGTAGTCATCTCTTCTGTAGTAGAAAGTGGCTTTGTATTTCATTATTTCATCTTTAGGACATAATGAGAGACATGGTTTTTAGTTTGTGAAACTGTAGAATTGAAAGCCTTTCTGTTCCATGTTATCCCCATAGTGCCCAACAGTGGGGCTCTGTGGAGCTAATCCTCTTCCTGTGAATCCCTGCTGCCACTGAGAAAACGAAAAGAGCCTGAGAAAAACTTCAACTAACTGTGAATCTTTGTCTTAAAAGGCCCTTTATTTTTCCTTCTATTTACTATCCATCCTATGAAAGAGTTTCTCTTATAGTGAATTTTATTTTTATGCAGTCTCATTAATAAGCCATATCTTTATAGAATAGTTACGAATTGCTCATTTTCCATTAGGCAAATACAGTACATGTTAGCTATAGGTATTATTAGTTCTAAGACAAGATTGGAAGACAAGACTTTGGAAGTTGAAATAAATGGTAAAATACATCCCAATTAGTGGTTCTACAAACGACTATGTTCACCATTCTTTGCCTTCTCCATCATATACAATAAAAGCATTTCTCAGTAGATATAGCCTATAGTTAGTTTAGCATTTTTCCTGGGTTTTTGTTTTGTTTTGGTTTTGGTTTTGTTTTGTTTGGTACCAGGGGTTCTTAACCACTGAGTCACATCCCCAGCCCTTTTTTATACTGAGTTGCTTAAGCCTTGCTAAGTTGCTGAGGCTGACTTTGAACTCATGATCCTCCTGCCTCAGCCTCCTTGAGCTGCTTGGCTTACAGGCATGAGCCACAGTACCTGACCTTTCCTAGTCATTTCTTTCATCAAAAAAGCAAATCTAGCTAAAGATTCAGACTTGTGAACAAAGTCAAGTAAAATCAAACCTTTTTGAGAAAGCAATATACTTGTACACGTAGATCAGCTGCAAAAAAAAAAAAAAAAAAAGGAACGAATTAAGAGAATAATTTTAATAATATTAATATCCAGTAAGGACATAAGTATAGACTCAGGACAAAGTGAAACAATCAACTCTCTTTCCACACCATGAAAATGAGAATCGGTCTACAGCTTCGTTCTTTCTCCTGACTTACATCATCAGATAAAATACCTGTCTCTGCTTTTATTTCATTTTGTAACTCTTGGCAACAGCATTAACTATGACCTATGTCAATAGGCATTGGATAACTCATCAATTACTGGCCTGGAAGTCAGTGGATTGTTACCTGCATTGCACAAAGGCTGCATTTTAGGGGTGGCTAACAGTGTTTTTCTCAGTATTGGCACCACAAAACATCTGAAATCACTCATACAATTATTTCTTGTTTCCTCTCAGGTTACAGTCCCTGGACATGATCCACATCTCACAAAGGTGGTTATTCCAGAGAAATCCCAGAACTTCAGTGCTCTTAAAAAGGATTTTCTACTTTCATTCCAAGGGCAAGTGGATTCTATCCTAGTATCAAATCTTTCATGCCCAATGATTCCTCTATACAAAACATTGCAGAGCCTCTCAGCTGCAACAAAGCCTAGTTTGTTCTTGTTTTTGGTGACTCTTTTGCACATATTTTTCAAATAAAGTAAAATGTGAAACTCAACCCCCATCACCACCTGGAATCAGGGATTACTCACTCCAGGTGACTGCAACTCTAACTCCCTCATGGGATCTCAACTGGATAAGCTCCAGTCTTCCCTAAGAAGAGAAATGGATATTTCCAAATCCTGCAATAAGTAACATGTGGTGATAATGAAAGGAATGATTCAGTCTTGAATGACAGATGGAAGATACCTGCCTATCAAGTACTGCCCATTTACAAATTAATCTTGAAGTCGTTTTAGAAATGTGTAATTTAAACTTGAAAAGTAAAACAGAAGTTCCTGCAAGGGGTGGGTGGGTGGCAGGGGGAAGAGCTAGTCATCTATTGCAAGAGCCAGTTGACTATAAATAACAAAGATGAACATTTATTGATCACTTACTGTATAACAGACCTTGCCATGAGTACTGTTTGTGGAGACAGTAATAATTACGGAAGAAATAAGACAATAGTTTTGCTGATGTTCTAAGAAGATATGAGAGAAAACAGGTAAACATGTCTCAGTGGTCCAAGAAATACAGCCCTGGTGGGATAAAAGGTTGTGTCTACAGAGTCCCAAAGAAACATGTCAATTAAGGAAGTGTCTCTCCTTCCAGAGTTGGTGTCCCTGCCTTTCTGTACCAAGATGCCACAATCCTGTGATGATGACTACCCCCAAATGTGTAACTCCTGAGCTTCAGATGCACATCCAACTAACTGCCCACTAGACTTATTCACCTGGATGTGACCTAGAGATGCCTCACATTCTTCATGTTGAAAATTGAGCATAATTTTCCCCCTAGTGCTTTTCTTCTTACTACCTTCTGTGACTCATTTACTGGTATCGCCATGCCAAGAATCTGAGAGTCATCCTTCATACTTCCTCTTTCTTCCTCATCTCCTACCTTCTGTCACTAAAATTGTAAACTATCAACTCTGATTCCACCCTCTCCTCTCCGTGGCAGTTAGTATTGACGTGTAAGCCCTCTCAGCTCATTTGCACCCCTGCAACACTTTCCCATTCTAGGGTCTATCCTATGCATAGCACTAGAGAAGGGGGATACTTCAACAATCAGCTGTTTCTATTTCCTAAACATGTCACATACTGTATTGTTTGTGTCCCCTGTATCTGGAATATCATTCTGACTCAATACATCTTATTTCCCACTCCTCCATTAAAACTCCAATTATCAACTTCACCAGGAACCTGTGACCAGGATCTCACAAAATTCCATTCTACCCCTTCCCAGGCAATCTGGGGATAGAGACCCTTCCTCTTTGTGCTCCAGAATCAACTAGTTATCTCTATTATTGGATTTACACCACTGTAATATGATCTTCTACTTCATGTATGCCCCTCAAATACAGTATGTTTTCTACTTGTTTGAAAAATTCATTTTTATATCCTCAGAGCTCAGCACAAGATAGAATAATAAATGAACAAAGGGTTCCAGTAACCTGCTATTCCCAGACCCTTCCAGAAACTATAAGGCTTTTCATCCTTTTATGAAACTACATCTTATGGCAATCTCCAGCTCACTGGTAACAATGACAAAAATGTTTTCATGTGTATTTCAAGAAAATTCCAAATACAGGACTTTTACTTGTATTTATTGTAAGATTTGTAGTAAGAGTATTTTACTTGTTAATGATACCACAATCTATATTTTCTTACCAGAAGACAAAATTTTTTGCCATTAGCAAACAATTTGAAACTACTGTCCTTTACATAAGAAATAAGGAGGAGGAAAGGATCCACCAAAATGCAATCACAACTCTGGTGGGCAGAATTCTTTAAGAGTTGTGTATTGCTCATGAAAAATGAGTTCCCTTGTTTTAAATTGAAAATTTTGCAGGATCTGAAAATAAAACCACACTGCACTTGGAAGGCCTGAGAACCACAAAGAATTGAGGTGCTACATGGGCATTTAGGTGTCAAGCTTATTCTACATGCACAAAACTGTACAGGCTGATATCAATAGCACTTGTGAACTTTTAACCACTTAGGTAATAACCTGAATATTTTAATCATTTTTTTATTTAAATAAGCAGTAATTTATTATATACTTAAAGGTATGGATTAATAGTACCAAAATTGTTTTTGGCATGTTATATATAAAAGCATATAAGACCAAACTTGATGTATTATCAAACCTTAAAGGTTTTCAAGATAGTTTTTAAAGGAGCATAAACTAAAATCAGAATTAGTTCATGACCCTTAATATAAATTTCTTCTGAAATGTTTAAATCAAATATTTCTACCAAAATCAAATTTTAAATCATTAAAAGATAAACAGGGTGTGGCTCAGTGTGCTTAGCATGCATAAACCCCTGGGTTCAATCTCCAGCACACCTTCCCCCACAGAAAAAGACAAAACACAACCTGGCATTCTGTGATCAGACCAGCTCCCCAAACCTCCCTAACACCTTTCCCACTTTGTCCATACTCACAGCGCATAGATATGCTCCTCAGGCTCAAGTTCAACTGTAATCCTTCTACTGTAGAAAATATGATAAAGGTTCTGAAGATAGGAGAAAAATGCAGGAGTTATAGGAGCCCTAATTCACCACACGTTTAGTTACCTAAACTAGACCCCTGCTGGACTGCAAACTGGTAGGAGAAATCATACTGTGGTGCCATTTTTGATGCTTGTCCAAGTGAAGGAAGGATAATTAATATTCAGGTTGACAAATATTTTGAAGGCAACATAATACACCTTATTAAAGGCTAAATCTTTGACTGAAAACCAAAATATTGGTTACCAAGAATGATCATCTAGTAATATTACGGAAGCTTTCATGAAGTGTTTAGCTTTCTCATGAGCTTACTCAAATGGTGATCAACATTAATATAAACCTAGATGGTAGGGAGTATTTTAGAGAAATGTTAAGTCCTTGCAGACAAATGTCAGTGTTGATTTTGGTGCTTAATTTATTATATTCAGAAAAGCTGCTGAATGTATCAGAAATGTTAAAAGCCTCTTAACATTTCTGAAAGTATTTCTAAGAAATACATTGTGTTTTGTTCTAAAAGCAAATTTGTATTTGTAATGTTTCTAAAATGATGTAAATTAGCTTTAGGTTTACAAAGTATAAATATCTTATGAATTGAAAATATATTTTCCTAGGGAATCCAGAAAAATAAACATAGTGTATTCTCATTACAACAGGGTAAGTTGCTCAAGTTTGGTTCTTATTCTGCATAGTAACAATACAGTTGATGTTTATGACAAATCACATTTGTATCTTCCTTGTGACTTTAGGTGTGGGGAGGGGAAGAAAATTATGATGGCCAGATTAGGTAAAGAGCACTAAGAGTTCCTAATACCTAAAATAGAAGCCTAGGTTTGCTGTAGACTTTACATTTAAAACTAATAAGCAGATACTATATGTATTGTTCAAACTTTTATCATATTTTAGCTTATGAAACTACAGTCTTCTATATGTTTCATAGCTGTTTTATAAGCTTCCTCAGTGACTTTCTTTTATACTATAATTAAGAATTTATTAAGGGCTGGGGATGTGGCTCAAGCGGTAGCGCGCTCACCTGGCATGCATGCGGCCCGGGTTTGATCCTCAGCACCACATACAAACGGAGATGTTGTGTCCGCCGAAAACTAAAAAATAAATGAATATTAAAAAAAAAGAATTTATTAAAATGCACAAATTGTCTAAGACTGTAAAGTTTATTTGGGAGGGGCCATGACTACCTCTAAGTTTAGTAAATTTAGAATATTTGATTCTCAATAAAGGATATTCACTCAGTGGTTGTTGTTTCTTTCCACTATCTTGTTAACAAATTGCAAGTGTAACAAAGTCCACATACTAGAGAAAACTGATTACCACCAAATAAACCCTTTGGAAAATCAAATTTAATGCACTTTTATGTGGCAACAATATTGTAACAACTTCAAAAGTCCACGTGGTCGTTCTGGAAAAAAATTTGTATGTTGTTTATATTATATTTCAAATTAGCTTATTAGAATGAGGCAATGTATTCCACCAATAAAATGATGGGTGAAAAGTGCACCTTCTGGTCAAAAGTTGGGGGGCTTGGAAGTAGCTCAGGTTAGAAGCACTTATAGGGCCCTGGGTTCAAACCCCAGTACAAAAGAAAAAAATCAGAATTCTAATACATTAATGTAGTAAAGAATCTGAGAAATCATGCAGAAAAAGAAATGGACTTCCCAAATATATGTAAGCATGAAACCATTTCTTAAATAATGTATCCTACTACTAACTCCTTGAACAACCATTTCTAGATTTCCAAACATTTTAGGAAAGGCTGATACAAAGACTTTTGTTCTGAAAAACAGATTTGATTTTCAAGTGCTTTTGAAACACAGAGCATAATTGTAAACAACAACAACAAAAAAATGGCCTCCAATAGGAATTGGAAAACAGCTTAACCTCAATACAAAGCCTATTAATATGGACTTTAATCATATGACAGAGGTTGGGTTCAAGTGCACATCTGCCCTACAAAACATGCTAAACAAATAGTTTGAGAGACATGGCTGAGTAAAAACAGCTAAATTAGTTACCAACTTCTCAAAAGTGGTATCTTAATTTAGAAAATAAACTGGGAATAATTTTTTCCATTTTCAAAAGAGAATCCATTATGGTGTATTAGGAAACCCTTAGGCAGAAGTTCCCTGAAAGATTTTTGCTAGATTTGAATATTTAAACTGATGAATATGAACCACCAGCCCAGGAATGTTTAATATCCACATTTTAGTAGTGACAAAAAGTCCTATTTGTGAAAAAAGTCTGCAGCTATTTATATTACAAAACCCTCTCCCCCAAAAGCAGAGTAGAGTTTAAAATGAAATACAATTTTAAAATACTAAACACGAAGGAAAAAGTTAAAAGTCTAAGTACCTCATTCATTTTGGGATGGTAGAATTGATTTAATTTTCCCATCATTACTTTTTATTTTTTGTGGTGCTAGGTTTGAACCCTGGGTGTCATGCATGCTAGGGCAAGCACTCGGAGCTACATTCACCGTCAGTCCCAAGGTTTTCCATACACTGCTGCTTCTGTAAGCAACTGATTTACATAGAATCTCAAATTTTATACCCATCAGTTTATATAAATGACCGTTAGCCTTCTCACATATTATTCCCAGAGTATACTAAAATAACACTTTGGTCGAAATTTATATTTTTCCTAATTGTCCTTCGACATTGAAGAGTAGTATTTTTATGCAATTTTTTTTAAACTGACAACTCACATTATTTTGATTTTTCTTTTTTTAATATTTTTTAGTTGGACACAACCCCTTTGTTTATTTTATTTTTATGTGGTGCTGAGGATCGAATCCAGGACCTCACACGTGCTAGGCAAGTGCTCTATCGCTGAGCCACAACCCCAGCCCCATTACTTTGATTTCTAAGCTAGCAATTTCTCTTCTTGAACTATTCTCTCAGCACTTTCAGGATTCTATGATTAGTGGCTACCTGAATTCAGTCTTCTCAATATGATGCTCCTGCCTTGCCATGAAGTCCTCAACTCTGGAGATCTGCTCTTCTCCTATGCAGTATTTAAAAAAAAGGGCTGGGATTGTGGCTCAGCGGTAGGTAGAGCACTCACCTCACATAGGCGAGACCCTGGGTTCGATTCTCAGCACCATATAAAAAAGTGAAATAAAGGTATAAAAAGAAAGAAAGAAAAAGAAATGGCAAAAAGATAGTATTTTTCTATAGATTTTTTTAAAAAAGCTTTTTTGGTTGTTAGAATTCTGACTCATTATGAACTCTTAAAGATCAATTTCCTTAGAATGCAATTATTTGTTATAAAGCCTTTTTTTTTTTTTGACATAAAAAAAATCTTCCTCTTCAAAATCAGAAAACTGAGGCATGTTTTCAATGCCAATCAAAATTCTCTACTGAATGCTTATGGTGTACAGTCCATTTTATCTAGCAGTTAGGGGAAGGTCACAAAAGGATGTCACAATCTGTTATGGAGAGAAAATACAAAGGAACATATTGTGAACAAAGCTGAGTTGAGAGAATGTATAAAAAGCTACCTCAACTGGGTTTTGGGAACTAGAGTCAGGAATGGATGCAAGAGAATACTATTAATCCACAATTTATCATAAATGCCTATTACCTGCCAGAACCTATTCTAGGTCTATATGTGTATCATACTTGCTTAGGTTGCTAAGCAAGCACGACATCTGTGATTTTGAATTCAGCTTTCCCACTAAAGAAGCTTATGAGTAGCGTTGGAGCAAAAAGTATTGAAGAGAGAGCACCCATTTCAGAGTTCTAAAAGTCTAAAATAATCAAGCAGAACATCACATATACTACCCAACAAGCAGTCTTTCTCAGTAATTATATCAAGGATGCGATACTACAGTGTCTGTAAAATTATCTACTTAAAAAAATGGGAAAGATAAAAGGCATTGAAGTAGCCTGGGAGCATACCAGTGGTAGAGTGACTGCTTAGCATATATGGCCCCTGAATTAATTTTCAGCTCAGGCACGCATAAGTGCACATACACACACACAGGCATTGAAGACAATTTAGGGAGATGTTACTATGACCTTGAAGGAAGGCCCACAATTAACAATGGGTGGCAGCCTGAGAAGTTGTATACCAAAAATAAACCCACACACAAGTACTAAAATTTAAGTAATAAATAAAATTCATCCAATATGATGGTAATTTTAAAAATTAAAAAGATGAAGTTTTGAAGCTAGGAAGGTGAAAGACACCATTTTGATAAGTTGACATTAAGTTTTTAGGACATTTAAGTAGTACTCTGAAAGTCATAGCAATGAGGGATTGAAACAAGAGGAAAATCTTGTTTTTCTAAAATACCAATTTTTTAAAAAGTTAATCTTTTTTTTTAAAGAGAGAATTTTAATATTTATTTTTTAGTTTTCAGTGGACACAACATCTTTGTTTTTTGTATGTGGTGCTGAGGATCGAACCAGGGTTGCACACATGCCAGGCGAGTGTGCTACCGCTTGATCCACATCCCCAGCCCTAAAAAGTTAATCTTTAAATGAGATTTTTTTTAAAAGCATAGAATTTAAGTATGTTTCAGTACCACCTCTTCCCTAAAAAAAAAATTGCTCTCATTTGCCCAAAATACTATTCCTAACAATATAAAAATACATCATTTCAAATGTATTACCTGTAATAAAATATTGAACTCTCATCTGCTTATTGCTTCAGTTTTTGCTTATTTGTTGCTTTCCACTAGTCTACTTTACAATTTATTAACATATGCTTCCATACACCTTCTCTAGCAAGTGCTTTCAAATATTTATCTTTATAAAGCCTTATTTGTAAAAGCAAAAATTCCCTATCATAAGGGCTGCAGATGTAATTCGGAGGCCCTGATATTCATCCCCACCACCACACACACACAATCCATATTAAATAATTGAAAGCAAGCAAAATGATAGAAAATATGGACACAAACTTTTAATTTATTCCCCTCAGTGCTGGGAATCAAACAAGGAACCTCACACCTCACACGTTAGGCAAGTGCTCTACCACGAAACACACCCCCAGGCCGCATGAACTGGTATTTTTTAAACTGAGGACATTTTTTGTAAACACTAAAAACCAAATTAGCATCCAACCATAAGCTTCAACTATAAACTTTTCACAATACAATGCCATGATTAACTTGGTAGACCCACACACTAATTAAAACACTTATTAGAAATTGCAAAAACCTAAGCTAAATATTGCCAAGAGTTACCCCTCTGGGTGTAGGGCCCACATACTCTTGCCAGCTTCAAGATTCAGGTCCCAAGGCATTTAATAAATTTGTACTAAACACCTACATCAACACATTACCATTAAAAAGTTCCTGGCATTGTGGACTTTAGTTCCAAAAATAACCACAGAAAGCCAGGCACATGCCTATGGTAGTCAGTGGTAGAGCACTTGACTCACATGCACAAGGTCCTGGGTTCAATCCCAGCAGAGAACATGTTTACATAGTCATACATGACCAGATAAGTAAAAAGGCAACTATAATTGTTAGATCATTCACTATTATTTATTAGAAACCACTTAAGCCAGACTGCCATGTGCTGACCCAAGTGTGCAGCACTAAAGAAAACAGCAATTTCTACCCCTACTAACCTGCAATGTTTGATCTGTCTCAGAGACTCCAAACTGCAATATACTTTCAAAGTAGGATGGCACGGTGACTCCAAAAAGAACATTGAGATCTGTGCCTCTGATTACCCATACAGGCTATTATGAAAAATTGCATGCAAAATCCAATAATCACATTCTTGAAACCATTCTTAAAACATTTAATAAATTGTTTATTTGTAAATCAATAAATAGTATACTAAACATAAAAATGTAGAGACGTTAGTAATCAATGTACATACAAAGGATTCCACTCTCAAGGATGAATGTTGAGTAAACAGAATTCACTGCATACATATAAATGTGTGTCATTTACGGACTCGCCTCAGAAAGGATGGATTATTCTTAGTTCTTCCCTAGTCTTATAAATTCCAAATTAATAAAGTTTTATTGTGTTTTGGAACTTCCCTAAAGCTAAAGTAGACATTTGTTTGCTACTTATATATGTATACAGATGGGTAAGTCACGGAGGTACGAGTGATTCTGTTTTTGAAGTTTAAATCAACAATGTATTGTTAGTAGTTAGCTGTACAAAATTATCCTTTGGTTCCATTCTAAATTTACAATCCAGGTTTTTTAATGCCCTCCTTTGAGTATGTACAATTGTCACACATGAGTAAAAATAAGTACTTAAGACTTTAAATTAAGGTGATTATTTTTGCTTAAGATTAATTATAATCAAGTTACTTTATATAGACTGAGAGATAATTTTAGAATTCAAAGCTCTGGCCCTGTCTCTTTTTTTTTTAAATATCTTTATTTATTTTTATGTGATGCTGAGGATTGAACACAGGGCCTCCCATGTACTAGGCAAGTGCTCTACTGCTGAGCCACAATCCCACCCAGCCCCTTACCCTGTCTTTCTTGAAGAAAAGTGATGCACAATTTCTGGATAATTCAAAAAAAGTTACAACTTTTCCAGCTAGTTTTAATAAACAGTTGTTTATCAAACTTCTGAATTCACTGGTTTCTAAAACAAGCCTTAAACCAAATTCTGAAACCTAGGAAACTATTAAGAACCATATAACCTAGTCCAAAAGGTGTTTCAAAGTGTCTTAGAATCACTTTTCAACTTATAGGAAACAGAGGCTGTAGAATAAGTTTATTTTTATTTACATAGCACCAAATATAACTATTAACTTATGAAAGAACTTATGAAAAAGATCAGAAACTTTCAGAGTATCTAAAAATTATTTTTTGGTGCCAGGGACTGAACCCAGGTACTTAACCACTGAGCTACATCCCCAGCCCTTTTTATTTTTAATTTCAAAACAGAATCTTTCTAAATTGGTGAAGCTGGCCTTGAACTTGCAATCCTTCTACCTCAGCTTCATTACTAGGATTACAGGTGTGGATCACCACATCCAGCACAGAGTATCTAAAATTTAAATATTATGTTTCTTATACATATTTTTCTCCTTACATGAAAAGTACTAAGTAATTTCATTTAAATGTCATATTTTTTTAAAAAAAGAAAATTAGGTACTTCTCACTTAAGAGAGTTGAAATTATTTAAAATGAGGGGTGAGGGTAAAAAAATGAGCTATATATATCTAATGTAAATTGTATTAAAAACCCAAATATAAAATATAAACAGAAGGGAAACTTTCTTAGAAGGCAATACATACTAACTACTTTTCCTCCCAAGGTAAAAATTACATTACCAAGAAATCTAAGCAGTTTGAGTTTCTTGCTCTTATAAATGTAATAAGTAAAAATAAAATCCATAGGGTCAAAATATTTAGGGTTATAACTAGAAATATATAATTCTACTTTTATGACAAGGCAGCTAGTTGAAATAAGTTAACACAATCATTTGAATTGGTTGTCTGCACACTGGACAGGGCTTATTCCTTTTCTTCAGCTTCTTTGCACATGTGAAGCATGACATAAGATGTCCTGTTTTACCATGAACAATGCAACCATTTTTAGGTCGACCTTGGCAAATCACACAAGGTTCAATGGCATTAAGGGGGAAACTAGATTCCATACTTTCTTCTTTGTCTTGTGTTTCTTCCTTCTCAAACTCTTTGACATCTTCTTGACTGCTATAAATAATGCTATTTGAAGTTGATGGCTGAGAATAGTCCTCACTTTCTTGTGACTGGGAGGCTTGTGTGATCTTATCATTTTCCTCAAAACATGATTCTTTGGAATCATTTGTTGTAATTTTTTTACCATCAGGCACATCCAAGCCCTCTTCTGCCTGCGTTGAGCTTTCTAATTTGGCTTTCTCAGAAATTTCCCCTTTTTCTTTCCCTTTATCTTCAGGAAGCCAGTTCTCACGAAGGGTCCAACATCTATTGCAATGTGGTGGAAGGGGAGGATTCATTTCATTGCATGAAGTACATTTCCAATAGTCCTTCAATGAAGAAATACAAAATTAATTTCTGTAACCCTTTAATTACTAATCATAACAATGCTGGTGACTGATATAATTAAGGTAAAATGTATCACAGTTCAATTTTCAGCATTTGTTTTACATAAAATAGTAAATATGTGCAAGACAAATATAGTTATTATCAAATATTGGAAATTCACTGAGAGATTTTAGGTACTTTTACCCACCCATGTAATTGAGATGATGAATGTTCATGTTTGACTACAGACCCTGGGTTTGACCCCCAGCACCAGGAACAAACAAACAAACATACTGCACACTTCAGAGAGACAACAATTTAAAAAAGAAAAAGAGTCAACACTGGGATGGGGATGTAGCTCAATGGGAGTACTTGCCTAACATGTACAAAGTACTGGGTTCAATACCCAGCACTGTGGGGTGGCAGGGAATGTCAATATGTGTTCTCTCTTCATGTACTTAATAAGTACTTTTTTTAGCCTTATCATGCTGAAAAACCCCAAAATTAAAAATATGTTATTATATTTTAGAGTACCTAAAATATATATTATATTAACTGTGTATCTATGAAGTTTTTTTTTTTTTTGGTACCAGGGAGTGAACTCAGGGGCCCTTGACCACTAAGCCACATCCCCATCCCTTTTTAATTTAGAGACAGGGTCTCACCGAGTTGCTTAAGCACCTAGCTTTTGCTGAGGCTGGCTTTAAACTCGGGATCTTCCTGCCTCAGCTTCCTGGAACCACTGGAATTACAGGTGTGCACCACCACTCCCAGCTGTGCCTAACTCATTTTACAAGGCCAGCAATACCTTTTCGAAGACACAGTCACAGCGGTTCATTTAGTTAAGGATGTTTTCTTCTGTACTGAGGCCTGTATCCACTCCCTTAAAGGCTCAATCCTGGACACTGTTGTACCTAGTCTACCTAATCAATCTACATGAAATCTGCCTTTCCTAAAGAAAAGTCACCCAAACCATCAGTGACTAGGACTCTAAGATGTGCTCTAAAACCATGATTCAACTGAGTGTTCCCTAACTCCATACACAAAGGAAATGCTTTTTAAAAATCATTCTTGTCAGCAGCCACTGCCAGGTAAAGACTACCATTCTTGGATACAACCCCAAATGTATACCCTGTACTTGTCTACCCTCTCCTGTATTCTCTTCTCTCTTAACTGCTCAGTGCTTCTCCCTTACCCTAACTTCTTGAGGCCTGACTCACTTGGGATGATAAACTCCCCCTCACCACACCTCTTACTGAATAATGAATAACTCCTTGTCTCCTTGCCTTAACTGAAGCATGGTCTTGCCTGAGGACATTTTACATGTGAAATTTGCTTTAAGAAGTCCTTCCTATTGGACGTGAATAATATAACAAGTTAGATTGCCTGTCAAATGACCTAACACAGTAGCAACAAGAGTGGAGATTATTCATTCTCCTACATTGGTTCTCTGTTGTCAAAGGTGGCTACCGTTACCTCCTAAACTAAAACTAAAGGTCTTGCTGGATGCAATGGTACATGCCTATAACTCCAGTCACTGCAGAGGCTGGGGCAAGAGAATTGCAAGTTTGAGGTTAGTCTTGGCAATTTTGCAAGACCCTGTCTCACCAAAAAAAAAAAAAACAAAAAACAAAACAAACATTGGGAACATAACTCATGGTAGAGTGCTCCTGGGTTCAATCTCCAGTACTGCAAAAACAAAAAGCAAAATAAAACTAAAGGTCTTGCAAAAGCAGGGTGGTGCTTCAAAAAGAGTTCAAAATATAAAAAAGTTCTAACTCCCCACATAAAACTAAACAAATGTAGTACCAGAGTTCACCATAACAAATTAAAGAAAAATACTTTTAACCATTAGACTTTAAGTTTTAACTTAAATCACCCCATTTCATGAAGTAGGTTAGATATATTCTTCTAATCTTGACCTTGGTATATATTTTTTTAATTCCTTAAAGAAGCAGATAAATACTTACAGCTAAGGAAATTTCAGGATCTTCTTCAAATGAATCTGTATCACTTTCCCCTGCCTGATACACAGTAACTCGATACACCTAATAAAGTAAATTCATTAGTGTCAATTCATCACCTTTTCTATTCTACCAGGAAAGTTTCTTAGTAAGTCCTAAACAGATAGTATACACTACTACTATATATAAGAATTCTGAGACTGAGGGTATAGCAACAGTAAAGCACATGCCTAGCACATGTAATGCATTGGGTTCAATCCACAGAATGCATGCGCCCACACGCGCACACACACACAGAGGCAAGAAATTCTGAGACAAACAAAGGTCAAATGCAGCAAGTACAAACAAGAAAAACAGTTTCCTAAACTGGTCTTGACTCACTCACTCTCCTTAACTAGAAATAATTTCATAGCAATTAAATCCTCACCCACCATGGAAAAAGTCAATAGATAAATATAGGGGTAACCCTGGACTCTGCGATGTTTTATTTTTATAAAAAGTAAGTTAGAATTAAAAGGTAGGAAATTAATTCAATATTTTAAAATATAGACCATTACAAGAATGCTTATTATGGTCTATTGAGTTCTTGGCATTAGTAATTCAAAAATGAGACAATAAGGAAATAGGTAAGCTCAAGTCCACAAACCAATATTCTAATTTGAACAAATCGAGAGACAAGGATTTCAATCTAAATGTATTACATCTTTAAGCAAAGTCAATTAATATGCAAAATATTTAACAACTTTCTAATATAATTAAAGAAAATACCTCATCATCTTCATCAGAGAGTTCTTGTCCTTCTTCACTAAGGCTATAATCCTCTGAATCAAGAGACTCAACTTCAAATTCTACACTAAATTGATCTGAAACTGAGTCCTGATCCAACCAATCACTGGAATGTTCACTCACACCATCTTCAATATCCTAAGGGGAAAAAACAAAATTAATATATGTATCTTGGCCTCTGTAACAACTTCCTGACTCATCCCTGTGCCTTTTTTCCTCCTCAGATCCATCCCGTATATCCAACGTAATCTAGACTAAGGTTCAAAGTTATTAGTATTATTTTCCCTGTTCAAAAAGCCCATTACTAGGCTGAGGTTGTAGCTAAGTGGTACAGCACTTGCCTAGCATGTGTGAAGCACTGGGTCTGATTCTCAGCACCATATATAAATAAAATAAAGGTCTATCAACAACTTTAAAAGAAAAAATATCAGAGAAAAAAGGCATTTAAAATCCCTTTGCAGTGAAGGTACATCTAGTATAATATTAATATTTCATTCCTCTCCAACTAGGCACTCCTCCTCCTTTACTAAAGAAGGACACTCAGAGACTGTTTCCTAAACTGGTCTTGACTGACTCACTCTCCTTAACTAGAAATAATTTCATAGTTTCTAAATCATACTCATCCTTCTTTGGCTAAATCTCTGCCAACTGAAAGAGCTCTGACACTTTGAATTATCTTTACTACTTGTATATTACTGATACACATAAATTATGCAAGACAACTGCATGTTTGTCATCTGAATTATAGCAATTTTGAGAGCTAAGACCTGTCTTAATCATCTTTATATATTCAGATTGGTAGAATGCTAGACAGACATATTTACACAAATACAAACTTAGTATTGGTGATTTTTAATGAATTTTGAAAATAATTTGTTTTGAAGAGCTTCCAGATTTAATTTTTTAAATTTATTTTTTAAAATTATGTATCTGTATTTAATTCCTCATTTAAGTTAATTTTTCTTCTTCTTTCTTTGGTACCAGGGAGTGAACCCATGGGTGCTTAACAACTGAGCCGCATCCCCAGCCCTTTTTATTTTGAGATAGAGTCTAAGTTGCTTAGGGCTTTGCTAAGTTGCTGATGCTGGCCTCAAATTTGTGATCCTCCTGCCTTGGCCTCCAGAGTTGATGGGACTACAAGTGTATACCACTTGCCAGGCTCATTCACGTTTTAATAAATTATGTAACCTAATAAGACCTTCAGGTCCTTAATATTTGTTGTCCATGGCTGAGGGTAGCAACACACTAAGCAGAGGGCTACAAATTTTAAAAGTATATTGGTCTAGGAAGCCTGGATATAGATATTATTCTTGATTTGCCACCAAGCAGCCATTTAACCTTGACGCATCATTTAACTCCTAAAGGCTATAGTTACTCTAAAAGGAGTTTAGACTAAATGATCTTTAATAGCTCTATCATTTCTTTTTGTTTTTCCCCTGCAGTACCAGGGACTGAACCTAGGGCCTCATGAATGCTGGGCAAGCGCTTTACTATTGAGCTACATCCCCAGTCCTTTTTTATTTTAAGACAAAGTCTTATTAAGTTGGCCTAGAACTTGGGATACTCCTTCCCCAGCCTCCTATGAATAGCTAGCATTACAGGACTGAGCCCATTTTTTAAAACAAAACTAAACAGTGGATATTATTTTACAATCTCTAAGGTCAAAATATTTTTTTAATGTGATGTTAGAAAAATAGTAGAAAAAGTAACATTCATCAGCTTGATGCATCTTAAAGAGATCTAAAGAGAATCAGGTTAGAGTATATAACTTATCTAATAAAGTGACCCCCTTCAATTAACTAGTCTTCAATTAACTAATCTTTAGTGAACAACTATTATGAGGGAGTAAATCACAAGAAAAAAATTAAATCTTAGAAAGCACATTCTGTGGCAACGGTCTGCACTGTGGGATATTACAAATCTATTTTAACAAATAAAGTTTTAACAAACATGGTTTGCCAATTTGTTTACCTGTTATCTATGGCCACTTATTGTTATGGTAAGAGTTTAGAAACTATGGTAGAAACCAATGGCCCTTAAAAACTTGCTTCTCATACTGAGCAGGAGCTCATGCCACCTAGTGGCTGACATGAGTAACAGCTCTGTTAAATACTCTGGAAGACACAAACATACTCCTATAATCACTGTTTTGGAAGAAAAAAAGCAAATACAGAAGTAACAAGAACACATAAAATGTAAGAATAGGATTATTATCATAACTGGTTCAATCTCCTACATCTTCTAGAGAACTATAAAATAAGCCAGGCACAGTGACTCATGTGTATATAATCCCAGCTACTTTGGAGGCTAAGGCAAGAGGACTACACATCTGAGGTCAGTCTAGGCAATTTAACAAGCAAGACCCTGTCTCAAAATTTTAAAAATTCCATTTATCAAAATGCTTAACAAATGGAACATTGGAATTTTCTATTAGTATTAGAAAGTACTGATACTCTTACCAACCAGGCACAGTGGCACACCACCAAGGGACTCGGGAAGCTAAGGCAGGAGGACTAAAAGTTCAAAGCCAGCCTCAGCAACCAAAAAGTCTTAAGCAACTTAGTGAGACCCTGCTCAAAATAAAAAAGATTGGGGATGTGGCTCAGTGGTTAAGTGCCCCTGGGTTCAATCCCCAGTACCAAAAAAAAAAAAAAAAAATACTGACACTCTAATCATCCATGCAATACTGAACCGACACTTCAGGGATCTGACAGACATTCCCTGATGTCTAGATCTATGTATATAGCAAATATTAAGTTCAGACTATGCTAACTTATTTGTTAATGGCTATAATGAAAGTTTAGGGCTTTGTTTTGTTTGCAGTGCTGGGGATTGAATATATGGCCTTGCACGAGGCAAGCACTGTACCACTGAGAATAAAAAACATTTTAACTCTAAATATTCAAGATAAATTTGCCTTAGAAACCCAAGAAACATAATTGAACTAAACTTATAGTCTTGTTTCCTTATTTTTAAAAAAGTACAACTTTCATATTCTTAGACTATACTCCAACATATATGAATTTACTATTAGGGTAGTAGTTCACAAAGACTCTCTAATATAGGGCAACATTAAAAACTATGAATATTCGTACTACTTCACCCTTACCAGAGTTATTCCATTATCTTTCACCCTCTCCCCAAACCTGGAGTTAGAGGTGGGAAATCTATGTAATAATTATATTTGAAAGTTAAATTTCCCCGTGTTCAGTAGCAACATCACACCATACATGTGCATTCTATCTGTATGCTTATTATGATTGTCAGGCCTACATTTAAAATACAAGAACTTTATTTTATTTGAAACAAGAGTATTACCGGATTTGATGGAGTCTCTATTGATTCACTGCTACTGCTTCTTTCACAACATATTTCCCTTATTACACACAGAGCCAGGCTTTCATCAAAGGAAAGGGAAATACTATCAGATTTGTGACGCTTTCGTCGTTCACCAGATAATTCATCTGAATTTTCTTCTGGATATGGAAGGAAAAAGAGGATGATTAAATTTATGTACTGTAGGATTGATTTAAAATTGAAATGTCTTTAGCATGTCTATCATATAGTATTGATGAAATTAAACAGAAAAAAATGATAAATTACTATTAATGTTTCAATAGTCAACATTTTCACTAGATCTGTCCACCTAAAAAGTTATAGCAGTGCATTTTTTAAAATATTTTTTTAGTTACACATGGACATAATATCTTTGTTTTGTTTATTTTTATATGGTGCTGAGGATTGAACCCAATACCTCACATGTGTGAAGCAAGCGCTCTGCCACTGAGCCAGAGCCACAGCCTCAGCCCAGGGCATATTTTTATAAGTTTTCCCATCTTCAAGAAATTTGCCTCCATAAGTCACAATAACTTTAATCCATCAAAAGCATTTACTAATCAAGCAATTATGATTTTTCTGTCTAAACTTTAGGAAGTAAGATTTCTTTTCTTTCTTTTTCTTAAAAAAACCAATAATGTCTAATTTGCATAGAAGGCATTTGGGAGTTTTTGTTGGTAGTGGCCTTTTACAGTATTAGGGATTGAACGCAAGTGCTCAATTACTCAGCACAGAAGAGTTTTTTTTTTGTTTTTGTAGTGCTGAGGATCCAGAAGGTATTCTTTATGGTTCAGTTTCATCAATACCCTGCTTTATTCTGTATTTAAGAGACAGAGTCTCACTACATTGCTCAGGCTAGCACCAAATTCCCCAACTCAAGCAATTCTCCTGCCTCAATCTCCAGAGTAGCTGGGACTACAGACACAACAACAGCATGTCAGGTACCCTGTATTTTCAACACCAGTGAAAACTTTCACTTTAAATAATAAATTTTCTCTAACTTAAAAATAAAAAGTCAAGAGTGCTAGTCAAATCTGCCAGACATGAATGAGATATCAGATATTGAAATAGTATAGGTCACTGGTAGAGCACTTGCCTAGTACATGTTAGGGCTTGAGTTCCATACCCAGCCTAGCAAAAGAGAAAAAAAAAAAAAAATCTAAATAGATCAAAAAGCCAAACATATACAACAAAACTATTCAAAAACCTAAGAAAACATTTTTTTTTTCCATCAAGCATGCTAATAGCACTCTCCAGCCCAAGAAAATATTCTTTTAATATAGGATGGGGAAGCATGCTAATAGCTGCATCTCCAGCCCAAGAAAATATTCTTTTAATACAGGATGGGGAAGTATAACACTGCAAAGCACTCAAGAAAGTATCAATATCAAGAGCAGACCACAGGGCTAGAGTTGTGGCTTAGTGGCGAGCACTTGCCTTACACATGTAACATTGGGTTCGATCCTCAGTACCACATAAAAATAAGTAAACAAAATAAAGATAGTGTGTCCATACATAACTGAAAAAATACAAAAAAAAAAAAAGAGGAGACCAGAGGAGCTAAGGTGTAGCTCAATGGAAAAACATCCAAGGAGAGTGCACAAGTCCCTGGTCCCTGGGTTCAGTATCCCCAGCACCAAAAAAAGGAAAAAGAAAAAAGACAAAGCAGAGTGGCAGCATACACCTATAATCCCAGCAACTCAGGAGGCTGAGGCAGGTTCAAAGCCAGCCTTAGCAACTTAGCAAAACCCTAAGTAACCTAGTGAGACCCTGTCTCAAACTAAAAAATAAAAAGGTCTGGGGATGTGGCTCAGTGGTTAAGCACCTCTGGGTACAATCCCCGGTACAAAAAAAAAAAAAACTAAACCATGTTAACGTTGCCATGGCAAAATAAAATACCATCAATATAAGCTAGAGGGCAACTAGAAGAAAATATCTACAACATACACAATAGAAAATGGCTAATACAGCCACATTATACAAAGTCCTCCTTCCAAAGACTTGATTTTTTTTTAAATTCAGAAATAGGAAAAATAAAGTCATAGAGAAATGCAAATGGCTAAGAAACTTTGAAAAATCTCCTACCTATTGAGCAAGAAAACGTAAATTGAAATAAGACATCATTTTTTGCCCATGAGAATAACACAAATTAAAAATGTTAAGATTTGAGAGGAAAGATTTTTATACACTGTTCATAGGAATATAAAAATGGTACAACAATTTGCAATTTATCTTACAGAAATGCCTACATAATTATTTAAGTTTATATATGAAACTATGTTCACTGCAATCTTTCATCATATGGGATTAACTAAAATGTAATCTATGTGCCTGGCTGAGTGTGGTGGCGCACACCTGTGATTCCCGTGGCTTGGGAAGCTAAGGCAGGAGGATTTCAAGTTCAAAGCCAGCCTCAGCAACAATGAGGTACTAAGCAACTCAGTGAGACCTTGTCTTTAAATAAAATACAAAAAGGGCAAGGGATGTAGCTCAGTGGTCGAGTGCCCCTGAGTTCAATTCCTGATACCTTAAAAAATTAAAAAAAAATATATACATATATATATACAGACACACACACACACACCACTTTATATATATTGCCCAGGCTGGCCTTAAACTTTCAAATCTCCTGCTTTAGCATCCCAAGTAGCTGGAATTATAGGCATGCAACAACACTAAGCCCAGTTAGTTATGAATTTTGATCAGGCAACAGCCCCTTCCTCCACTATCTTTTCTCTGTAAAAATGTTCTCAGCAATTTTAACATTTTCTTTAATTCTAAGATACTATTTACTTTGTTTTAAACCCAATGGTAAATTTTTTACTTATTAAAAATAATTATTAAAAAAATTTAACTGCTGCCAGGTGTGGTGGTGGGAAGCTGAGGCAGGAGGACGAGAAATCTGAGGGCAAACCGGACAACTCAGCAAGGCCCTGTCTCAAAATAAAATTTGAAAAAGGACGGGAGATACAGCTCAGTGATAGAACACTTGCCTTCTATGTGCAAGATTCAATCCACACTGTGTATATGTGTCTCTCTCTCTCTCTCTCTCTCTCTCTCTCTCTCTCTCTCTCTCTCTCACACACACTCTCTCTCTCTCTCTCTCTCTCTCACACTCTCTCTCTCTCTCTCACACACACACACACACACACACAATTAACCACAATGGTAACTAAGAATTTTGGCTACAATAAAGTTTATCCTTGTCCCCATTATGGAGTAAACTGTGCCCATTGTCAACCAGAAAAAAAAAAAAAATGTTACTAAATGCTACTAAAACTGCTATCCTATAGACCAAATAAAGTAATAAGAAATTCATTCAACTAAACCAAAAGCAGCAAAATAATTTCACTAATCCTAAAAGTACTAATTTCATTAGAGAAAACACCACACAGCTGTTTACTATACCAAATAAATATTCATGAATACCTGTCTCACTAATTGCTCTCCTTCTAGATGAGGTAGATGGTCTAGAAACCAAACAGGAAGATGAAGGCTTCTCTTCTTGTAGTTCTTGCACAAGGTCCTAAGCATTCAAGAAAAAATAAAATATGTCAATTTAAACTTATAATGCCAGGAAGTTAAAATTCTGTTTTGTATAAGTATCTGTGCAATTTTCAAGAAACATTTTACTAAAATGAATTTATTTAAAAATTACCTTCTGATCACTCCCACCTTCAAGGTGACACCTGTTCTCACTCACTAATGTGCTGGAATCTGATGGTTCTAAGACAAAATAAAAATGGAAATCACAAACTAGGAAAGAAAGAGCTATCCAACATAAAGCCCATACACAATTTAACCTTTCAATAAACATTAAACAAATGCTTTCCAAGTGCCATCCACATGCTATGTAGTTATATGAGAACTCAATTTTAATATAAGATACCTGAAAGAGTAATTATAAACACATTAAAAGAATATACAACAGCAAAGAAGGTAAAGCGATGATTATTTGATAGGGGTGGGGGAGGGGGGGTCTGAGGAGCAAACAATCAGGAAGGATTTCATAATAGAGTAGGTGAAATAGGACTGGCTGGGAAGGACATTCCAGATTGAGGAATAACATGTGAAAAATCATTCAGATGCAAACTAACTGTTGCTATTTTAGGAAATTAAGGACAGTTTTACTAGAAATCAAACAATCAGAAATGTAAAGGGTCCTAATGTCAGACCAACAGCACAAGGATGTCAACAAGCAGTGCGTCATTGCATTCCTCCCAGTAGACACTTCAGAATCTTCCTTAAGACAGTATCGAAGCCACTCATCACTAAGGGGACTTAGTTCAAGAAATAAAACTGATTTCCTAGCTCACAGATCCATTATCTCCAGAGAACAATCAAACCCCTCAATTACAGTGATAAACTGCTCTGACAAAACAGTAAAAAAGAAGAGAGAGAATAGAGGCAGGGAAACCACTGTTAAACAGCAGCCTAATAATTACTCTTATTCTTGGATCAGATGGTAATATTCTTTTCTGGATTTTAAATCCTGACTATGGTATAGTAAGTATTCAATTCTACACAAACTAACACCATATTAATAAAATACTATCCTGTATGATGCAGAATGCAAACCTCAATGAGATAGGAAAGAGAAAAGTGCAACACAACAAAATAACCAGAGCAACAGAAAACAAAAGAAACTGAATATAGAATAGTGGGATCACAGGGGAATGGTCAATTCATTCTGAAAACTAAGCTACTGAGAGCTTTTCTTAATTGTAGTTCAAGGATGGACATTTGGAAAGCTATAGCATATTGGAGCCAACTTCTAACAACACTCAAAAAAAGCACAGTACATTTCTTCCCAACTCAACGTTTATAATCTGAAAATGAGAGTGTTTACACCATGGAATCAGCAACCACTTCAAATCAAGAGATTCTCCCATGGAAAATGGGTTAAACATTTATCAGCATACTCCTGTATATTTATTTACATATGCATCTTTCTGAAACAAAACCCCAGGGCCTTCATCAGATTCTCAAAGGAAGATGCAACTCAAATATGACCAGTTAAAAACTTCAATTGAAGGAATTAAAATGCCATTTACCTACAAAAAAAAAAAAAAAAGGGAAACAAAGCTTTTGTCTACTATAAAAAGGAAAATACAAAAAAGAAGACTTATCCTTTCAAAGAGTTCAAACTAAGTAACTATATTCCTTTCCAAAGCATCTCAACAGGATTCTCAAGGTTTGACACACCTCTTCACTGAGCAGAGCTTTTGAAATTATCTACCTCTCAAAATAAATCCTGATATCCCAAGATTTAAACTAATATAATAGGATATTTGACTTTATATTAGAATCTTCCTACTATTTTAGTTCACATCTATTTCTTTCTACTAAAGTTTGTCATAATTTTATTTAATATAGAATTAAAGTAACAAGAGAATCAAGTCTAGGAGTATAGCTCAGTGCTAGTGTTTGCCTACATATATAAGGACCATGGGTTTGATCTCTGCCATAACAAAATAAAAAGGCAGATGCAGTGATGCACACCTGTAATCCCAGATAATTGGGAGGCTGAAGCAGGAAGACAGTGACTTTGAGGGTATCCTGAGTACCTCAGGAAGACCCCATTTCAAAAGTTAAATGAATATATAAAGAGAATCACAATTATAAAATATAAGCACAGAGAAGTATCTTCAAAACTTTTTTTTTTGCCATGCTAGGGATCAAACCCAGTGCCTCACATATGTTAGGCAAGTGCTCCCCCATTGAACCATACTCTCAGCTCTTAATACAAAATATTATATTTATGATGTTCAAAATTAACTTACCCTGCTGATTGACTACCACCAAATTTTTGTAGATCATTGTATATATTTTCCTTGTAAGAAGAAAAAAAATCAAGAGATATACATTTTAAAATTTAAGTACATATTTTGTATGAACTACTACACATACTCAAAATGACACTTTTCAAATTATATTACAGGCAGGCTTTTAGATTTTAAAAAACAACTAAATAATTAGTAATAGTGATGACAGCTATTTTCAACAATCACAAAGGTTTCTCTAGCTTAAAGATTCACATCTCCATTTCCTGACATGAGTTTTGTTTAGACTTTATCACCCCAGCAACTTATGCAAACAGAGGGTAGGTTAGCATATTTATTTTTTTTTAATTTTATTTTAGTTGTAGATGGACACAATACCTTTATTTTATGTGGTGCTGAGGATCGAACCCAGTGCCATACCACATGCAAGGCTAGCACCCTACCACTGAGCTAAAACCCCAGCCCAGCATACTTATTTTCAAATTTCTAGCACTCTGCTTAGAAAGTAATAGGTTATATAAAACCCATTTATAAGCTGAGCATATTGGCACACACCTATCATTCAGTTACTTAGGAGGCTGAAGCAGGACAATTACAAGTTTGAGGTCAGCTTGGGCAACATAGCAAGGCCGTAACTCAAAAAAATAAAAGGAGCTACAGATGTAGCTCAATGGTATAACACCCCTGGGTTAAATTCCCAGTACCATAATTTTTTAAAAAAATTTTTTAATTATATAGGAATTGGATTATAATCCTGACTGTATGTTACTCAGGACTGAACCCAGGGTCTCATACCTGCTAAGCAAGTATTCCACCACTGAGCTATCCCCAACCCTATAATCCAGACTCTTACCAAACTTAGACAGTCAATGAATGGATTTTCTTTCTTGATTTAAAATTTATTTAAAAATAGAGCCTCCTCTTCACTCAAATACAGACTGGGAACATACTATAAACTAGTCACTGTGGAATGAGAAATCTCTGCCCTCATGGAGATTATACCCAAGAGAAAGACAACTCTTATTCTAGTATTCATTGATGTCATGATTCAGTCTTCTCTTTCGTTTTTAAACTAATGATCAGACAATGTTATTTGTTGCAAAATACCACTGAGCTACATCCCCAGTTCCTGAAACAGCAATTTAAACCAACAACAACCAAAAAAAGTCAATATTCTTATTCATATTCAAGAATTTTTTTTCAAGTCAGTAATTTCCCCATTTTCTGATCTCTCAACCTATCAGAATTTAAATCAAGCATAACCTCAAGATTATACTTTCAATATCAGATACTACATCGCCAAACATTATCAGAAGATTTAATACTGAAAATGGTACAAAATCATCAAGTTATTTCTTAAACATACAAAGTTTCATATCCCAAGGCCAAGGATAAAATAACAATGAATGGATATTAAACATAAGAGTTTACCAATGGAAAGATGGTTCTATAATATTAAAGAGATTAAGGGGTAGGGTTGTGGCTCGGTGGCAAAGCGCTTGCCTCGAACATGTGAGGCACTAGGTTTGATCCTCAGCACCACAGGAAAATAAACAAACAAACAAAAAAGATATTGTGTCCATGTTTAACTAAAAAAAACAAAGATGAAAGCTGGGGATATAACCCAGTGGTAGAGCACATTCTTAGCATGCCTTGAGTTCAATCCCCCATATTAAAATATAAATAAAACTTAAAAATAAGTAAAAATAGCTTTTGGTGACAAACTACACTAATTTTTCCCCTACTCTTTTTGAGCTATGTCTTTTTCTAGTGTTCAATAATGAATATATACATTATGCTTATAATGAAATTGTTTTAATGACACAAATATTCTATTTAGTTTCCATCTTTGTAGCTACTTTTTTCTTGTGATGCTAGAGATCAAACCTAGAATCTTATGCAAGGGAGGTAAATTCTCTACAATTGAATATACCCCCGATCATTATATTAATGAGCATTAAATATTAGTAGAATCTAGTGAATTGTTGCAAATGAAAAGCATCTATCCCACTTACTAAGACATAAATGCTAAGGCTCAACACAGACCAACTAGGCTAAACCAACTGCAACAAATTTGAAAGGTACGAATGACTAAAAAAGTAGTTTTCAGTTCCCAGAATAATTCTGGAAATGTTAACTGCCATAATGGTAGTATGTGACAAAAAACAAACACAAAATAAAACTGATTTCCAAAGTAACTGAGATTCAAATTTAAGCTTTATTAACATGATGGCATAAAGACTACCTTTGGCCTGGCATGATGGCACACACCTGTAATCCCAGCAATTTGAGAGGCTAAGGCAAAAGGATCACAAGTTTGAGGCCAGCCTGGGAAACTTATGATCGTAATTCAAAATAAAATTTAAAAAATTTTAAAGAGCTGAGAAAAAATTTAAGTGGCAGTTCAATCCCCAGTAATACTGAAAGAATAAATGAGTAGATTATAAAGACTGCCTTTGGAAGTGATCAGAATAATAATTTAAAATATATAATTGTAGCTAACAATCTGAATGCTTTCCATGTGTCAAACAATATATATTTTTTTTTTGGTAACATGTCTCTTCATGAGTTATTTATAACCTCTACACAAGGTATTTACTTATCCCTATTTTAAAAATGAAAAAACTAAGGCTTAGAGAGGTTAGATCAATTTACCTATTCACACTGCTAGTAAATGACCAGGCTAGGTCTCAAATACAGATTTATAAGAGTCCAGAGTTCATGTTCCCCAACAATATACTATAGAACTAAGAAACCAATTTCAGGGCTGGTGCTGTAGCTCAATGATAGAGTACTTGCCTAGACATGAAAAGCCCTCGTTTGATACCCAGCATGCCACCAAAACAATTAAAAATTAAAAAAAGAAAAAGGAAAAACTCAATTCTAGATTGATTGATTGATTAATTTATACACACATACCTGGTATTGAACTTAGGGGCACTGGACCACTGAGCCACATCCCCAGCCTTGTTTTTTTTTTATTTAGAGATAGGGTCTCACTGAGTTGCTTACTGCCTTGCCATTGCTGAGGATGGCTTTGAACTCACTTTCCTCCTATCTCAGCTTCGGGAGCCGCTGGGATTACAAGCATACGCCACCGCACCCAGCTTATTAGCATCTTTTATATATACAGCATTAATTATTTATTACTGACAATAGGAAGTGAGAGTGGAGGTCAGCTGAAATGTTTGCCCAGCTGGCTTTTTATAATAGCTAGAGAGAAGAATTTACCTGTGCTCTTTCACAGAGAAGCTTGGCACTCCAAACAAATCTCCTAGAAGATCATTTGAACAATATACAATATGTTGTTGCTTCTCATCATATAATCGTTTAGTCATAATATACTGGCCAAGATAAAATATTACCTGAAATAGAAATACGATATCTGAGCATTAAAGAAAACTAAAAGTTGGTTTCAAATATATTCAACTAATATCCCATTTATTCAAACAGGATTAAACTACCAGCAACCACATCCATAACCATGTAGAATAACCACTATCTTGTACTTAAATGTGTTTTTTTATTCCTTGCAAATCTTAACTCTGGCTCAGCTATCGAGGTTCTAACACTTAAGAATAGAAAAAGCAGCAAAAGTTTAGAAACCAATTACCTCCCACCCCCAAATCAACTAAAATATGGCAGTGTCCTAGTGCCATTTAGTAAATAGTCACAAACAACACACACCTCAATAGCCTCTGAGGTCATCACAGAAAAGAAAGACAGGAAAATGACCAATGACATCAACTCAACAGTTTGGGAGAATTCAATTAAATAAATCCAGATATATTAATATACACTATAATAAATAATAAAAATGACCCTGAACCATTATTATATTATATTCCATGTGCTCTATTAAGACAAAATAGGCAACATACTTTTCAATTATCCCAACAACCACCTAAATATGTACAGCGTTTTACAGTTTACAATGTACTTTAAACAAGTATAGTCTCATCCTTCTGGTATTTCACAGAATGATTATTACTGTATTAGAAATGAAGAAGGGTCTGGAGCACAGCTCAGTAATACAGTATATGGCTAGCATGCCCAAGGTCCTAGGGTTCAATCCCAGCATCAAAAAAAAAAAAAAAAAGGAACAAAGTGAGGAAACTGATCCCTCTTCTGACTCGAAGCCTTGTGCACTTTCTACTACCCCATCTGGCTTCCACCACTTCCCAATATGATCCTAGACAAAGATCCTTTACCTGAAAACTGCATCAGACACAGCCCTCTAAATGTGTATGTTTTGCAACCACGGATCCAACTAACCATGGGTTAAAATTATTCTAAAATAAAATTTATCGAACCTAAGCAGAATTTCTTATTCCCTTAACAATACCACATAATACCATGATATGAGGTATTATAGGTCATCTAGAGATGTTTCACGTATATGGGAGGATTTGCATAACTTATATGCAAAAAACACACTATTTTGTATAAGAGACTTGAACATGGGTGATGGGGGCAGGTTACCTAGAATCAACTCCTTGTAGATGGCAGAGAAGGATTATACTATGTTACTGCTAAACAGTTTTGCAGAAGTATTCTATGTCTTAATGAGGATCTAGAGTCCTAGCAAATATCCCTTGAGGTAATTTATAAAAGTGTGGCTGGAAAGAAATTATTAAACACTATGTTTAATAATTTCACAAAGTTTAGGACCTCCAGAAGTGGGGGTGAGGGCCAGGCGTGGTGGTGCATGGAATCTCTTCCTGCCCTACTATCTATCCTGTCATAAGAAAAGAATCTTTAGTGGTTTGAGTAATTCATATCCCACAAAGTAAAAGGAAGAGATGGGGAACGGAAACATTTCATTCACAGTGAAATTTTGCCCAAAATGGCCCAATCTCTCACTGAAAACCTTACTTCTATAAACTTCAAGAGAATAGATTGAAATGCTGTAGCCATTAAAGAGGACATATGTTCATGAATCGGCTCACCTCCAGCCCAGAATTTCAGTACAGTATATTGTACTTGTGTATCTCTGGTGCATAAGTTCTTAACCTGGGATCCAGGGATGCCCAAGAAGTCCTTGGATAAAATTCAGGGAATCCATATATATATATATATATATATATATATATATATATATATATATATATATGTATTTCTATCTTTACTTTCACTAAATTCAAACTGAAATTTAGTTTTTAATTATGAGTACAGGCAACAAATCACAACACTATTAGCAGTACCTGTGATTTTGTCACCAATAAAAACCACAGTATCAAACTATGCTTATGGCAAACACATCAAAATATCACTTCATTTCCTCATTATACTCTAATCATATTTATTAGTTCATTAAATTAGCATTTAATGTGTTAATTACACAGTATGTCAAATGACCATAAATAAAGAAGGCCATATATTAAAACATTCCTTATATCTTAAATCAGCTTACCTCTTTCATAGTGTAAGTGTCTTTTTGTGCACCAACAGACTTTAACAACTTCAAAAGCAATGGCTTTGGTCTAACCTACAAAGAAAAAGAAAACTATAAGCCTTGCAGCAAACACATGCAGAATAAAGTTGTCAGTAAAGGTAGTAGCAAATAACAACAATAAGGTAACAAACACTATGTTTATTGATTTCACAAAGTTTAGGACCTCAAAAAGTGGGGGTGGGGGCCAGACATGGTGGTGCATGCCTATAATCCGAGCAACTCAGGAGGCTAAGGCAGGAGGATCACGAGTTCAAAGCCAGCCTCAGCAATTTAGCAAGGCTCTAAGCAACTTAGCAAGTTCCTCTCTAAATAATATATAAAAAGGGCTGGAGATGTGGCTCAGTGTTTAAACACCCCTGGGTTCAATCCCTGGTACCAACAATAACAACAAAAAAAGAAAAAAGCAGCAGGGCTGTGATGTGTTTGAGTGGTAGAGCATTTGCCTAGCATATGTGAGGCTCGGATTTCCAGCCCTGGTTTTTAAAAAAAAAGGTAGCAAATAACAATAAAGGTAGCAAACACTATGTTATAAGGTTTTACTAAATACAATAAATAGACTATATAAATTGAATATCACATACCATGGTTAAGGGGATTAGAAAAAAATGTTAGAGACTAATTATTATGCTAATTATCATGGAATCATCAAATTTCTAAGTTGTGAATCCAATTCCAAGTGCATGCTATCTTTTCTCCTCTAGCTATTTCTAGCATTTGCTGCTTGCCTTACAATCATAAATAGTAGAGATCCAATGAGCTTACTGTAAGCAAATTTACACAAGAGAAAAAAGTCCATCTTTGAGGTGATTCCTAAAGATTTAAGGTGTGTAGTACATGTTCAACAACTGTTTGTCAGATATATACTTGAAATATAAACCAACGAGGAAGAAAATGCTAAGTTGTGGTTGAGGGACAAGAGTTACATTCTCAGATCTGCTCTTAATTATCCTTGTCAGCTTGGGTTAGTTATTTTAAATTCTCCAGTATTAAGGAACCTAATCCATAGAAGATCTATTTATTGTAGTACTAGAAATTTAACCCAGGAATTTTGCTCTATCACTGAGCTATACTCCCAGCCCTTTATTTTTATTTTGTGACAGGGGCTGGATAAATTGCTGAGGCTGGCCTGAATTATGATCCTCCTGCCTTAGCCTCCCAAGTGGTTGGGATTACAATCAAGTGTCACCATGCTCAGCCCAATAAACTTTTATTTATAAAAACAGGCAGCAGCACAAATTTGGTCCAAAGGCTATAGTTTGCCTGACTCTAGAGTTTTTTCAAGTGTTATTAATAATTGACATGGGGGAGAATATGCTTATGTTCTTTCTCCTTTCCTATTGCTATATCCAACTCTGCAAAGCTCAATCTTTACAATTTGCCACCACCATACAAACCGGTGTCTCTACACCTCTCTTCAATATGGCCTGTCCTGATTCTGAAATCTGACAGCATGCTCAATTAAGATATAATGCTCAAAACCAGATTTAAGAAAACTGCCTATTTCCAGCTAATCAGCAAAACAAATTACTTAATAATTGAAAAACTTAAAAGTACCCAGGGCCTCAAGCATACAGGGCAAGCACTCAACCTTCTGAGCTATATCCCCTACCCCATAATCTTGTATTTAAGAACAAAAGATAAACCCCAGGTGGTGATCTAGATGTAAAAATTAAAATTACAGGTGATACATGCATAATCTTGGGACAAGAATGATATGAAAATTCAAAAGCCAACAACAATTAACAAATAAAACTTCAAACAATGTTCTCAATGGGAAAAAGATAACATCAAATTAAATGGACTATTTTTAAACAACAAAAATTCAATACTCTAGAAATGCTGAAAACTACTCAAATTAAAAAAAAAAAAAAAAGAAAAATGGACAGACCAGACCAGTCAAATCCCAGAATAAGCAAGTGATTCAACAAATGAAAAGATGCCCCACCTCCTCAGAGACTTGGGACATATAAATCTGAACAACAGCTTCATACTTTTTACACACACACAAAAAGTCAATAGTAATTAGACTGGGTCACAATTTATTTTACAAACAACAATTGTTAAATGTTTAAGGACCTGGAAATGCTAATTATCTTGATTTGATCATTACATGTATATATATTAAATTATTACACTATATCCCACAAACACTGTACAACTGCATGTAAGTTAAAAAAAAAAAAACACAACTGGTAAAATTTAGTGTAGGCAGGTGTAAAAACTGTCACAATCTTTTGGTGAACAAGTTACCAATCAGCCTATAATTTGGGACTCAGAGTTCTATTTCTAACTTACAGAGAAGAAACACATAATAGTTGCACACATAAAGCAGTACTATTTGTAACACTCAAAATTGAAAGGCAATTTTAAAGTCTATCAGTAATGCTAGAAATGTAGCTCAGTGGTAGAGCACTTGCATAGCATGCATAAGGTCCTGGTTTTAATCACGGACACCTGCCCCCCCCCCCAAAAAAAACTCTATTGGTAAAAGCACTGGTATACCATCAACTATAGGATAATATGTAGCCACTAAAAGGAATTCTATAGATTTTACAAGTTATAGAACAACTCTGGTTTAATCCTGTTTCAGTAGAACAAACAGTAACAGCTTCAAATTCACACATTAATATATGCACATAAAAAAATTTTAAAGGAGACATGGAGAAAAGACTGCAATTTTCAAGTATTACTTTATATATTTTTCTAATGCTTAAAACCTTTACAAATAGTATGAATTATTTTTGTGACTTTTAGAAATCACAAAGTTAAATACAACAGGTCAAACTAGAAAAAAACAGTAGGTCACATAAACACAATGTCAATACCCATGCTTAAGAATGGAAGTCACTCCATTTTGTGAAAGACTAAGAAAATTCTGATTCTTTTGGTTCACTTTTACTCCAGACAATTATCCCTGAGAAAGAATTTAAGTTACATACCTGAAATTTCACCTTAAAAGCCTGGCTATAACTTGGGTTTATATCATTTACTTGATCATCTCAAAAAGTAAGTTATTTTTAAAAGTTAACACTTCAGACAAAAATACCAACCAGGGTCTCTTGTTCCGAAGCTGGAATCTGTGAGGTGCTTACAGCACCATCAGTAGACACAGACATGTTGGTATTGCACATTGGCCTACAAGTAGGGGAAAAAAAAAATACACACACGATAAAAACTTGAAATAAAACATGTGAAAAAACCCGAAATCATATATAAAGGAGATAACGTCTTTAAACAATACCTTATGAACCAAAATTATTAGCAAGTCGATCCTTACCTGGATCAGTACATAAAATGTGCCGCACGTCTGTGAACACGGGTGTCTATCTTCAATCGCCAGTGAATACAACTGGGAAAAGGAATGGTTTAAATAGCCTCAGCCGTAGGACAAGTCAGGACTTAGCTCCTCCAACGACAGTCTCGGAACGTGTCCGAACTTGACCAGCCTAAGAGGAAAAGCTGAGTCAACCAGCCCAGTCTCGCCCAGATTAGGAGCTGGGTTCACACAGGCAACCCAAGAGGCACCTGTCACCCTCCCGACCCCCAGCCGGGAGCAGTCGGGGGCCCGGAAACCCCCAGTGGCTGCGGCCTCTACCCTGGGCTCCAGAGCAGACCCCCACCCCACCCCCACCCCCACCCCCACCCCCACTCCAGTGCGCGCCCGAAACCCCGCCCACTTCGCCGCCGGCGACAAACAGGCTTCTTTCCAACAAAAACTCCACGAAGCCACGTGCCCCCCACCACGAATAGCACAAAGGGTGCGCGCGGGAAGGGGTTGGACTCCAAAGCCAGCTAACCGACCCATTCACCGCCCACTACTAGAACTGAACCCTCCTTTCCAGGCCCATACCTGCTCAACACTGGGACTTTTGGCTTGGAGGTGGGGGGGCGCGCGGAGGGTCCTTCAAGGCGCCCCAGTTTCCTTCACCCGGAGCGCTTGGGCCTCGGCGACGATCCCACTCGCGGCCCAGACCACTGGGCGCTTGAACGCACTAAGTCCCGCGAGAAATATAGTTCCTGGCGGCGGAAGCGACAGGAACTCGGCTAGAGGGGTTAGGGCTGCCCCTCGAGTTAAATTTTTGGCTCCATTTTCTCCTCGGTACACAGGGCCGCAGAGACCGGCGCAGAAGCCAAGGGCCGCATAAGCTAAGCTCCGCGGTGAGCGCCCCCTACCGCCCGCGGGGAGTGCGCCGGAAGCGGCGGCCCATCCGGGCTTTTGCGCGCGTGCGCGCGCGTCCGGCTCCACCGCCTCGACCAATTGGGGACCGGGTTGGCGGCGCGGCCTTGTGGCGGGTCTACAGGTGGGGATCCGGCGCTGCCCCAACGGAACTCCAGCTCGGGCTAGTTGGCGCAGCGCCCGCTCCCCTCCCCGTTTGGCGCGGGACGCTGGGAAGACTCTTTTAGTTGTGCTGTTTTTCTATTTCATGGGTTATTCCTCCCGACTGCAGTGGAAACTAGGCAAATGCGTATCTAAGTGTCGCTGCCACCAAAAAGAAACCAAGATTAACAGACGTATATTTTAAGTCCACGCCGGCAGCCGCTGGAGGTGTATACAAATTTCAAGACTTAAAAAAAAAAAGATGCAAATCAGCATATGACATAGACTTATACACCGGTGAATACCAGTGTTCTTAGTGGGGGGACAGGGGGTGATTACATAGCACGCTGAGCTATGGAAAGAAATAGGGGCTTAGGGCCTTTATGGGTGGCAGTGACTTCAAGTTATGGAAGGAAGGGTGAGAGAAGGAAACGCTTAGTGAAAAGGTCTTGCTATACAGATGGTCTCAGGTAATAAAATTAAGTAGATCAGCCCTAGCAACTGGTACTTTACAAGCGTATTATAAATTTCCTTTATAAATGTAAATTTCTTTTACAAAAGGACATTTCAGAGCCATACCTGCAGTTTCTGAGAATAATGATAGAACAGTATATTATGCATTCAGTTCTGACTCACCTGTTTTCCTTCATAGGTGTGGCAAGTGATATTGGTGCAGTCTCATGAAGAACTGAGTTGGTTCAAGCCAGCAAGCAGACTTTGCAGACCAGCTTCACAGGCCAGAATGTGATAAGTCTGTGAACAAATACTTCTTTTTTTTTTTTTTTTAAATAAAATTGTATCCTTTCCTTCCACTCCCTATCTACTAGATCAGAATCTTCTTAAGCATTGTTAAAACCAAACTCTGAAGAAGGAGAGATATCTGAAATAAAAGGTTTTATTGAGCCATTACAGACGCTAGCCAAAAAGAAAGGACCAGTCCTGGGACAAGCTCCCTCAGCCACCCACAGCTAGGCCAGGTAGTGGAGCCAGAATTAGTGTAGATTAGTTAAATGGAGTCAGGTGGGATCAAGGAAGCCAATTTTGAGTGAGTCCGAAATTGGAGACTGTTCCCTGAGGAATTGAAATATTAATTCCTTTAGAGCCCTTCCTCCAACTTTATCAAGAACCTGCCCTAGCTCCCTGTTGCTAAGGTAACCTATCCCAGGAGTTGCCCTTCTCTACAGGGAGCTATAAGGTTGTTAATTAACGTGTCTTGGGCTGCTCCATCCTGCCCTTCCTCCTTCAGCCCACCTGTTTCCCACCTTTTGACCATCCCACAGAGCATTTTCTAGGCCTAGTCACATATGCAGAAAGGAGAAAGATGAAGAGAGCAGAACAAAGGAAGCCTAGGACTTATAAAAAGGGCAGAACACCTCACTTCATGAGATACCTGAATACCAGCTATGGCCTCCTTCCCTCTCCTGGGAGAAGTCTGTTACCCCTATTAAATAAACCCGGCTTTATATGCTTGCCTCAGCATGCTTCTCTAATGTTCAACTTCAACATGCAAGGAATCAGAATTCATTGCTGATAACCAATGGTATCAGTAGCATTCGGAAAAATGTCAGCTGAATCCAAGAATCCAGAGTACTTTTATAATGAAAATCTGAGAAAAACAGGCATAAGTTATTTACATTGCATCTACATTGACTATGGATAAGAGGAACAGGATTGCGTAAAGCAGGGGACAGTCTACCAGGAGAAGCGGGCTTGCTTCTGGATGGATTGGGGCTGCAGGAAGGATGCTGTAGCATCTAGGGGGTTGCCAAAGGATTTGAGTAAAACAAGGGGGTTGAGGTTTGTTTGAGATGGAGTCTTAGTATATTGCTTAGGCCGGTCTCCAACTCATGGTTTAACCAACCCTCCTGTCTTAGCCTCCTGAGTTGCTGAAACTATAGGCATAAGCCATCCCACCCAGCTGAGTTAAGTAAAAAACTAAAGAATGGAGAGCTGGGGGTGCAGTTCAGTGGTAGAACATATGCTTATCATGTGGGTTCAATCTCCAGCAATTAAAAAAAAAAAAATCTCAAAGTCAAAAACTTAAATCCAGCAAAGTGGCATGTGCAGCATCTCACTGGGAGGCTGATGAGGGAGGATTGCTTGTGCCTAGTTCAAGACTAGTCTGGGCAACATAAAGACATCCCATCTCAGAAGAAAACAGAGAGAAAGAATGTAAAATGGTCTTCAGGGTCTGTAAATTTTTTCCGATTAAATTTCCTCCATCTCCTCCTTTCTATCTCCTTCCAGCTTTGTAATTAAACTTAGAATATCTCAGAATTTTTTTCCTGAACAGCCAAGTCATCACTCGATTTAATTGACCACATTATTAACTTCAGAGGTTTAGTGTGGCTTATAAAGATATCATCTTTTGTTGGGCAAGGTGGCACATGCCTGTAATCCCAGCAGGTCAGGAGACTGAGACAGGGGGATCTCAGGTTCAAAGCCAGCCTCAGAAAGTTAATGAGGCTCTGTGTCTAAATAAAATACAAAAAAGAGATGGGGATGTGGCTTAGTGGTTGAGTGCCCCTGGGTTCAATCCCCAGTACCAAAACAAACAAACAAAACAGAGATCTTTATCAGATCAACTATAGTGAGATTTCTGTTTATGAGACCCAGTGCTTGACACTGGTGAAAGAAAATCTCAAGCAGGGGAGAAAATATATAAGCATAAGAAGATAAGTGATCATATTAAGTACCAAGTGAATAAACTAGTATGCATAGCCATAAGAGTTCAAAGACAAGGCTAGGGATGTAGTTTAGTGGTAGAGCACTTTGTCTTGTGTGCACAAGGGTCTATCTTCATTTGGTCCTTAGCACCACAAAAAGAGTTGGAAGGCAAAATTCTTAGAAAATGCTGGGGGCAGTTTACAAAGACCTCAGTGACCATCCACACATATTTTATGCCTTAAAGAAAGACTTAAAAATGGAGCAGAATATTCCAGGGTACAAGAAAAATTCTATCAAAAAAAGCTGGAAGCAAAGATACAAGAAGACTGTTTGAGAGACAATAAACAGATCAATTTGACTTGCATATGAGTAAAAAAAAAAAGTCCTAAGAATCTTGAGTCTCCTTAAATGTCAGGCAAGAGAATCTGGGCTTTGAACCAAATAGTGTGCAGAGTTTGATAGCATATAAGCAGGTGATTTGTTTCAAACTGTCTTAACAGGACCACTTAGAGCAGATTTAAACCAGGCCAGCCTCTTTCTGGGCTAACTTTTCCCCTTCTTGTTGGCCCTGTTTTCAAAAAATTCTCTTGGCAGAATTATTAGAGCAGAAACTAAGGGCAGAAATTATAGAATCTGTCCTTTTTCTAATAGAACCAGGAAAGAGGAGGCAAAAGTGAATAAAATGGTAAGATTTAAGGTGTTAGAGAAAGATGAAATAAGGGTTTAATCTTTCAAGGACTTGGTAGTCAACATTTACCATGTGTACTATGGGAATTGAAAATATGCCACTCCCAATTATACTTCTTTGGCATATTTTGAGATGGATTTTAGAGGAAGGGCAGACACAGGAATAACTATGCAAAGTTGTTCCTTTGGAAAAAAAAAATTTACGCCTATCTACATGAATAAAGTATAAAGTTTGTGGCAAACAGTGGCATTCTCTGAGACCTCCTTATCTGCCTAAAGGTGACCTAAGGAAGCTCATTTCACAGGATAGGAGACTAGAGATCCAAAACCCTGCCCAGATGGAGATTGCTACAGGCTGTCACCTATTCTTTTGAATGCAGTTCTGAGATTACCAGAGAGTCATCTTTATCTGCATGATACAACAAACTTTTATTCATTGTACATTCTTCCCCTCACCCTCCCATAAGCTGTATCTGTCTGTTCCCAGAATTCCCAAGCATCTATTCCTCTCTGTAGCTCAGGATATTTTATAAGCTTCAATCATTTGATCTTTCTTTGAGTCTTATATTTCATGAGGCTCCCATGCACATGCATGTAATAAATAATACACATCTTTTCCTGGCAACCGACCTACTGTCTGTTTATTCCAGAGACTCAGATTATTGAGGTTTTAAAGACTAGAAGGGAATTTTTAACTCCATTTCACTACCAAGCACTACCATAGGCCCAAAGAGGGGAACAGCAGTCATACTCCTTGCTGGCATGGAACCTAGCAGAATAAGAGTGCAGGAATAAAAAGTTGCGCTGCTTTTGAGGCCCATCTTCCTTCCAAAAGATGGAAATAACTTGAATGTCTTTATAGTCTCCAGGATATAAATTCTACAACTTTCTGCACTATAGACTTATCCTGGACTTTATACCTGTATTTATTAATGACAGCTGACTAATCTTTAAAGCATGGTGACAAACAAGATTTCTCAGAATGCTGAGAGTTTTGCAATATTTATGAGACCATCTAAAATTACAGAAGTAGTTCAAATTCCACATTTTCCTAACATCTGGAACTAAGTAGTGCCCATTAAAAAGCAAATTCCCAGCAAATGATGGAATATAAACACAGGGGGTTTTTTGGTTCTATATTGAGAATTAATCAACTATCTTTTTATGTTGACAAGTTTAAATATGCAGTAACATCCACAGAACAATTACTAGCATCAAATATATTTTAAAAATAAAGCATTCCCCAAAAAGTTGAAATTCCCTTGTTCTTAATCCCATTTTTCTATTTTCTCGTTTGTTTGTTTGTTTGTTTGTTTGTTTTTGGGGGGTGGGGGTTTTGTCTTTTCGCAGTGCTGGGGATAGAGCCAGGGCCTCTTTGTACATTCTAGGCAAGCGCTCTATGCTTGAGCTATGCCCCTAGCCCCTATTCTTCTCTCTTGAAACAATCATAATGATCAATTTGATTGATCATATCCACTGAGCCCATGTTTTGTATACATTAACTATAAATTTATGAATTTTTTTTTTTTTTTTTTTTTTCCCCACGGAGCACCCAATTTATTCCAAGATCCGTGGGACACGCGAATGGATGAGGAGCTTATCAGGAAGCATCTCTGCCCCAGAGGGTGGGAGAGAGAGCAGAGGAGAGCAGGGCGGGGCACGTGTCCAAGGAGAAGTCCCTGAGGTGGGATCCGGGTGGGGCGCAGGGGCCCACTGGTGTCCGGGTGTCTTCGGGTGTCCTCCTGCCTGAGGGGTCCGGGAGGCGGCGGCCAGGGCAGGTTGCACATCTCGCTCCAGCAGCTGGCCCTCGTGAGGTAGAACCCGGGCCACCTGTCTGTGGACAATGAGAGGGGCTAGGAGTCAGAGTCGCCCGCCCTGTGGTGCCCAGGTGGACCTAACCCTGCTGGCACCCCCCAAGGGCAGAGGGTGTCCATTCATCCTTTGGAAATGACACTCATCAAGGCACACGTGAGACCTAAGGCAGCACCGCTCCACCTACTTGGCTCCGTGGGCGTCTCAGCTGGGCGCTGGCCGGGGAGCCACTCTGTTTTTGAAGAATCTTCTGAGGGCCTGACCTCTGGTGGGGGCAGGTCCCGGGGGGTCCCTGGGTGCTGGTGCTGGTGGCGCGGGCCCTCCAGCTGCGGGAGCCACTCTGTTGGAGCGTCCGGAGCCAGTCCTGGGGGCCTGCCCGCAGCAGCACAGCCTCGCCAGACAGGTGGCCATCCTCCGGACCACTCCCCTCCATCCCCTGGCGGTGTCACGGGTCAGGCCAGGGGTCCTGGAGCCAGCAGGGGGTTGCGCGGTGGAGGAGGAGCTGGGATCCGGTGCCAGGGCCTGGGAGGACCCGGGCAGAGGGGCCGTGGGGCCGGGAGCAGGGACGCTGGCCGACAGGCTGCACAGCATGATGGCGGGCAGGCTGGCTCTCCTGCTGCCCACCTGCCCTGAAGGCTTGAGCTCCTCAGGCTGCTGCTGCTGCTGCTGCTGCTGCTGCTGCTGCTGCTCACAGGCCGAGAGGGGCCAGGAGCGCATGGCCGGCCTGCTGACGCCCCACCTTGGGCCCAGAGTCAAGTTGGAGGGGATGCATAGGGACGGGCAAGGCCCCACCTGTGGCCACCCAGGCATCTGCAGCCGCACCTGGCAGCCCGCCCCCCGGGTTTTCTGGTGGCCCAGCAGGAGGTAGGTGGCCATGGCCTGGTTGAACTGGCGCGTCGCCACCGACACCCAGGTCTCCTGCAGCCCGTAGCCCAGGTCCAGCATGGCCAGCAGGATGGAGGTGTCCGCGCGCTTGGGGAGCAGCTCGGCGGGAGGACTCGGGCAGCGTTCCCCATCCTGGCTCAGCCACGGGTGCCCCAGGATCTGCTGGAGCGTGGGCCTGTGCGCGGGCTCCAGGGTCAGCATCCAGGACACCAGGCTTTGCGCCTCGTCGGACAGGTGGAACGGGAGGTGGTACCTGGCCTGCAGCACCTGCTCCTTGGCCTGCTCATAGCTGGCCCCGGTGAACGGGACGCTGCCCGTGAGCATGAGGATCAGGAGGACACCCAGGCTCCAGACGTCCACCGCGGGGCCGTCGTAGGGCTCTCGCCGGTGCAGCTCCGGGGCCCAGTAGGCCACGGTGCCGCAGAGCAGGCCCAGCTTCTCTCCGGCCCTGAACCTGCAGGCCAGGCCGAAGTCGCACAGCTTGGCGCGGCCCGCGGCATCCAGCAGCACGTTGTCCGCCTTCACGTCCCGGTGCGCGATGCCCTGCGCGTGGCAGTAGCCCACGGCGCTGGCCACCTGCCCGAACAGCACGCGGGCCTCGTCCTCCCACAGGCCCACAACCTCCGGGATGTGCTGGCCCAGCTGGCCCCCAGCCATGTGCTCCATCACCACGTAGGCAGTGCCGGGGGTCTCCACGATCTCCAGCAGCTGCACCACGTGCGGGTGCTCCAAGCCCTTCATGATGTCCAGCTCCGACAAGACCCAGGACAAGGTGGCCCCCGCCCCCTTCCGCAGGACTTTCACGGCCACCTTCGTCCCCGTCAGGATGTGTCGGGCCAGGAAGACCTTGGCAAAGCTGCCCTGCCCGACGACCCCCAGGGGCTCATAGCGGCCCGTGAGGGCTTCCTCCAAGGAGGAGCTGGCCGCGAGGTCCCGACGCACCCTCCGCACCACACTACGCTCACTGCTCTCTCTGGACATCCTCCGCCCCACGCCCACTAAGCCCGCTAGCTAAAAACAAACACAACAAACAAAGCAAAGAACACAAGCAAAACTAACACAACAAAGCCCAACAGAAAGCCCCAAATCAGAGAACCAACCTGAGACCGCAACCAGAACCACCAAACCACCAACCACCAAACGCGCTAACTATGGGAGTCCCACAGGTCACTGCCTAGAGCTTCCTGTGCTTGTGGACAAGGTGCCAGCCTCGACCCGGCCTTATATCCCCGCTGGCTCAAGGGCCTCACAATGCTGGCCCCTGTGAGGTCACAGCCAGGAGTGGCCCACTCACACCTGGGGGTGGCCCACGGTGGCATCTCCCACTCGGGCCTCCGGGACCTTGGCCACCTTCCTGGTCAGAACAAGGAGGGTCTGTGGAACCTCGGTGCTCCCGTGTGTTCGGGACCCCGACCTCTCCTTGCTGAGAAAGGAGGAGCTGGACCAGGCCCCGGGGCCCGTGCCTCGCCAGTACACAACTCTGTCGTGGCTTTCGCCCCGTGAAGACCCCACCCCAGGTCCTCTGGAGCCATTCAGCGCCTGTCTCCTCCAACTCGGACAGACTGGTGTCCAGAGCGTGGTAGCAGTCCCCTCACGCCAGGACGCTAGTGCGGGTCGCTCTGCCCCCTGAGATCCAGGGCCACGTTCCCGACCTCTGTGGGGTGTGGGGGCCAGGGCAGGGTGCCTGCCTCATCATTGCCACACAAGGTCCTATCAGGTCACTCACCAAAACCCTCCCTACAGCCCACAGGAGAGACGGTGGGTCGCCTTCCAGCGATGAAGACCGAACCTTCCAGCTGAGAACCCTAGGGCCAGAGGTGCCCTTCCTGGGGTGCAGAGAGATGGAGGCGTCCCTGTCACCCAGGTCCCTTCCCCTGCTCTGTCCATAGAGCCTGAGCTGGCTGTTTGGGAACCTCACAGACTGACTGCTCCCCCCTCTGGGACCTGAGGCGTCCACGTGTCAGGCACCAGGAGGCCGGGTGTCCAGGGAGGTCTCGCTCTCTCCTTCCAGCGAGGGACCTTGTAGCCGTGTCCCACACCACATGGCTGAAAGGCCGAGGACTGGGCTCCTTCAGTCCCTTTCCCTGCTCTCCTCCCTTCTATCCTCCTTGGTCATAGTCATGGAGGCCCCAAGGTCACGCATGTGAGGCCAGCGCTCGACTCCCGAGCCACTTTCCCAGCCCTTTCTAGTGTCTTTGACGAAGGATCTCACACACTTGCCTGGGCAGGTCTTGAACTGCCAATGCCCCTGCTTGGCCTCCCCAACCCACAAGTAGAAAGGCAGTCACCACCTTGCCCACAGTGACATGTCTCTGTGTCTGTGTCTGTCTCTGTGTGTTTCTGTGTGTGTGTGTGTGTGTGTGTGCATGAGCACACCTGAGACCAAGCGCGACCATGTGTGGTGCAGAGGGTAGAACCAGGGCCTAGTTGCTGGCCAGAGGAGGTCCAGCCCTGAGGCGCACATCCCCTTGGGAAGCCAGGGCCCCAGGGCCTCACCCTCCTGAAGGACCACAACACCACACCCTCAAAGGGAGGGGAGTTTCATCAGCACTTTTGGAGAAACACACTCCTCAAACCACGGCCCTGGGAAACCAAAGGCAAGGGACTCGGTCTCCCCTGCACCTGCCCTTCAGGACAGGAGTCCCTGGTGGTGGACTGAAGGACCTTAGGCAGGGACTCAGAGATGGGTGAAGACACAGGGGTTTCTGGAAAGGCCAGTTCCTGGCAAGTACAAAAGCTGGCCTCACTTTTCTTGTCCACGGGGAAGGGACCAATTCAGAAGAAAACACTCAGTGGAGGGTCTGCGGTACCAAACCACCAGGAACACACGGGTGGCTCTGTGACATCAGAGACCCAGGGGGAGGGGGGGTCTGCATCTAGTACAGGATGGAAGTGAGGCTGCCCTCCATTCACTTCAGACTGGGATCT